CCAGGATGGTCTCGATCTCCTGACCTCGTGATCCGCCTGTCTCGGCCTCCCAAAGTGCTGGGATTACAGGCTTGAGCCACCGCGCCCGGCCAATATTAATAACTTCTATCAGCCTATATAAACTATTTCTTTTTATAGATGACTTGGAAATACTTGAAAGCCAGGTTTACGTTTGTTTTGAGCAGAGCCAAACAAGGGAAATTTCAGAACATGCTTTGAATGTGTGAGAGTCTATACCCTCCCTGGAGGAAAAATGGGGGGAGGGGAAAGCCACGGGGTTAGGAAGTGGATACTGTTGGATAATTCAGTAGAAAAAGCCATAAGGTTTTAATACTGAGAATTAGTGGAAAAATTTATCATTCAACCAAATTTGGCCAAATAAATAATTATTCAGCCACATAAGCAAATCAGATGAATCAAATTTCCTTCCAAATCAGTTTCTGAAGGAGAGACATGAAATAGGTTTGGCAACATTTAAATGAGATTCCAAACAATGAGGCCGTTCTTCCCAACTGTGAATGCCTCCTGGCCGCTCTCCTAGAAACTGTTTTGCGGTGTTTGCACTTTTCAGCAGTGCCAAGCCCTGGGCAGGACCACGCATGCCAAGACCTTGAAAAGTGCTGCAAACGGCGTCAGCCTCTGCACCGCCCGGTGCGCATGGCAGGGACAGGCCACTGGTGGGCGGGTGGGAGGACCGAGCCCCCACTGGTTTTCACCGTCTGACCGTCACAGCTGCTACTGCCCCATGGGTTCTTCTTGCCCGCGGCCCAGATACAGCCCATTTCTCAAGACTGGGGAATTGCAATAGAGACAGAGATTAATTCATGCAGAACCAGCCAAACAGGAGGGCGGAGCTTTATTCTTACATCAATCTCCCCAAAAATTCAGAGGTTAGACTTTTTCAAGGATGCTGCGGCAGGCCAGGGGATTCGCTTCTGGCTGGGGCCATGGGGTAGGGTGGGGTGAGGTGGTGGGGTGGCGGGGGTGGGGGCAGGAGGTCATCGGGTCCAGGTGGAGCCATTGATGGTCAGAAATGCAAAAACCTGGGCCAGGCACAGTGGCTCACGCCTGTCATTCCAGCACTTTGGGAGGCCGAGGCAGGCAGATCACTTGAGATCAGGAGTTGAAGACCAGCCTGACCAACATGGTGAAACCCCGTCTCTACTAAAAATACAAAAATTAGCAGGGCGTGGTGGAAGACACCTGTAATCCCAGGTACTTGGGTGGCTGAGGCAGGGGAATCACTTGAATCCAGGAGGCAGAGGCTGTAGTGAGTGGAGAGATACACCACGGCACTCCAGCCTGGGCGACAGAGTGAAACTCTCTCAAAAAAAAAAGAAATGCGAAAACCTGAAAAGACATCTCAAAAGGCCAATCTTAGGTTCTACAGTCGTGATGTAACCTGCAGGAGTAACGGGCAGTTGCAAATCTTGTGCCTGCGCTCTGGAATAATAACTGGAAACGATGTTTATGTGTACACCTTGGCAGAATTTAGGCTTCTCGCATCCACCTAGCCTGGTGGTCTCTCACTAGCTTTATGAAGGCGGTTGAGTTTTGGGGAAGGGCTACTATCTTTTTTTTTTTTGAGACGAGTCTCACTCTGCCACCCAGGCTGGAGTGCAGTGGCGCAATCTTGCCTCACCGCAACCTCCGCCTTCTGGGTTCAAGTGATTCTCCTGCCTCAGCCTCCTGAGTAGCTGGGATTACAGGTATGTGCCACCATGCCCGGCTAATTTTTTTCTGTGTTTTCAGTAGAGACGGGGTTTCACCATGTTGGTCAAGCTGGTCTCAAACTCCTGACCTCGTGATCCTCCCGCCTCGGCCTCCCAAAGTGCTGGGATTACAAGTGTGAGACACCGCACCCCACCAAGCTATTGTCATTTAAGCTATAAACTAAACGTCTCCCAGGTTAGCTTGGTCCAAGCCCAGCTATATGATTAAGGGCAGTTTGAAGGCTAAAGGCAAGATGGGGGGGTGGTTAAATTTACATCTCACTTTGTTAGAGTTTTTGCAGACGTGGTTTCATTTGTATGTGTGTGTCTGTTTTTTGTTTGTTTGTTTGTTTGTTTTTGAGACAGAGTCTTGCTCTGTCATCCAGGCTGAAGTGCAGTGGCACAATCTCGGCTCACTGAAACCTCCGCCTCCTGGGTTCTCATTTTTCTTTTCTGGTCCATCTTTCACAAGCATGCAAAGGTGGTTTCAGAGCACATCCACAGGGCTGTGGGCTGAACATAAGGTGGACATGAATTTGGGTCAGAGGGATCTGATCCCCTGATAAATACTGATGGCTGCATGGAACCCATTATAGGAGGGGCTGGTCCCACAGGCTGCCCAGCTCTCAGCAAACCACCCAAAAGCTGCTGTCTCAGACAATCCCTGCTTTGTTGTGTTGGAGGAGTGAGTTTGAAATTATGCAAGAACTGCACTAACCCCTTTCATACTTTTTGAATTCTGGACTCACTGGAAACAGCTACGGAACAGCTCTCCCATGAGTCACGCCCATGCCTACACTAGGATGGACTCAGGCATGGCTGATTGTCTGTGTGACGCCATTGTTCATTCCGATTATGAACACCGCCTGTGTAAACAGAAAGAGCTAAGAATTGGGATCATGAAGCCAAGAGCAGAAATTTGTCAGGGTATTAAGGTGAAACCAATAAAAGGCCTTTAAAGCTTTTATATACTTAAAAAAAAAATGACTTTATGCCCCCGCCCACTCCATTCTCTCCTGGTTTAACTGCTGCTTATTTTTTATTTTTATTTTTTTGTTGAGACAGGGTCTTGCTCTGTCGCCCAGGCAGGAGTGCAGTGGTAAGATCATAGCTCACTGCAGCCTGGAACTCCTGGGCTCACGCGGACCTTCTTCTTTGACCTCCTGAGTAACTGGGACCACAGGTGCACACCACCACACCTGGCTAATATTTAAATTTTTTGTGGAGATGGGGGTCTTGCTATGTTGTCCAGGCTGGTCTTGAACCCCTGGCCTCAAACGATCCTCCGTTCTCAGCCTCCAAAAGTGCTGGGATTGTAAGTGTGAGCCACTGCGCCCAGACCTAACTGCTGGTTTAATGATTCTTCCATTTCTCTCTCTTCTACTGGAAACAAGTGTGTCTCCACGGCACCTAGGGAGGCCCACTGGGGCTGCTGCTCCCAAGGGCAGGGCCAGGAGAGAGCTGCAGATTCCAGAGATTGGCCTCAGGAAGCAGTAACACAAACCTGATGGCTTTTGACCCTACGACCCTCAGAACCTTTATGAGCAGCTTCAGAAAACCTAACCATGAGTCACAGTGCTTATTTTCACATTTTGCAAGGTGTTTTCATGTCTCCTCATGTGATTCTCACAGTCCTAAGGTCAGCAGTATAGAAACTGCTGTCCTCTTTATTTTATTTATTTTTTTTGAGACGGAGTCTCGCTCTGTCACTCGGGCTGGAGTGCAGTGGTATGATCTGGGCTCACTGCAACCTCCGCCTCCCAGGTTCAAGTGATTCTCTTGCCTCAGCCTCCCGAATAGCTGGGATTACAGGCACCAGCCACCATGCCTGGCTAAGTTTTGTATTTTTTACAGAGACTGGGTTTCACTATGTTGCCCAGGCTGGTCTCAAACTCCTGGCCTCAAGTGATCCACCCGCCTCGGCCTCCCAAAGTGCTGGGATTACAGATGTGAGCCACCGCACCTGGCCCTGCTGTCCTCTTTAACAGCTGGGAAATACCCTCACCAGAGTTAATGACAGCTGTGAGATCGCATTCAGAGCTGGAACCTGAGGCAATGATTTCCACACCATTCTTTATCTTGTAAGTATTATTAGAGAGTTAACAATTTAGCAGGCCAGGATTATCCACCCCAAGTGAATACTTAACACTGTGGTCACAAGTGCTGACATATGAATACAATGGAGAAATTTTAC